TCTAAAGAATTTTTCGAGAAGTAATCCCAGGAATTACTCACTAGAAACTAGAAAGAAAAAGGTCAGAATTCTACGACACTATTGGTACCAATTTTTACGTTTATGTGAGAAAAAAGCAAACATATTTGGCTACATATACAATATTAAAACAATTTTGTTCTTTTTAACAGCCCATCAATAAAATTAGTTATGACTAAACAAACTTAAAATTACTATTTTACAAAAAATTAGAAAATAATTTTGACATCTATAAGGAGAATGTTGAATTAGCTTTTTAGCACATTTCTGATTTTTAATTTTCTTAAATGGGAATTGATTTTTTGTCACAAACTCTGAGTTTCTTATCCCTATATCTTTGTATTTCAATGTCAGAGATCTAAGATATTTCAAACTATGCATTATATTTGATCAAATAATAATAGTTTGAAATATTAAATGTAAACACCATTAGGTTGCAAAGATATAGCGATTTTAAAATCAGAATTTGTGTCTAGAACTCAGTTCCTTTGGCTTTGTCTAACCTTGATGAAATTATCCTTTAATCACTCTGCTTCCCCTCTTTTGAAAATTTCCTGCTTTGAAGTTGTGTATATATAAATATATTTATTTATTATGGCAGTGTAAGTCAAACCACCACTCTACAGTCTACCAAGCCTTTCCTTTAAATTTAATTAAACAAATTATTAGAATCCTAGAATCTAGATTCTAGATTCTTGATTTAAGACTCTAGATTTAGATTCTAGATTGTAGATTCTATACATTATAGATTATAGATTCTTGATTTGAGACTCTAGAATCTAGATTCTAGATTCTTGATTTTAAACTCTAGATTCTAAAATTTAAATTCTAGATCCTAGATATTTGAGTCTACATTCTAGATATTTGATTTCTAGATTCTAGATTCTAGATATTACTTTCTAAATTTTAGATTCTTTATTTGAGACTCTAGAATCTGGAATCTAGAAATTAGATTCTAGATTCTACATTCTAGATTTTTGATTCTGGATTATAGATATTAAATTCTAGATTCTAGAATCTAGATTCTAAATTTTAGATATTGGATTCTATATTCTAGATTATAGATTATAGATTCTATATTCAAGATTATAGATTATAGATTCTTGATTATTGATTCTAGATTCTAGATTCTAGATTCTTGATTCTAGATTCTTGATTCTAGATTCTAGGTTCTTGATTCTATATTCTAGATTCTAGANCCCCCCCCCCCCACTGTCCTCCTCCCATATATTATTACTAAGTTTTATGAATAATTGAAAACATTAAAAGCAAATTGTTGCTCTTATCAATTATTTAGAACATAGATCCAATATTTATTCATCAAGAATTCATGGAATACTGATTCTTCTTTACTCTAGTATTCTTTAGATCATGTCAGTATGATTTAAAGGGACTGTAAGCATAATTTCAAGTGAACTTTCATGCAAAGATGGCAATGCCCTATTTACAACGCTACACTTTTTTGAAATAGATATCAATGTTCATAAATTTAATATTCTTATTTTAAATTGTGGTTTCTATTTAAGAATGATTGTACATTGCACAGTATACACTCCATTAATAACCTCTTTTTTATCGTGTACACTCCATTACTAAACTCTATTACAATGCACACTCTAGTACTAAAATCTCTCTTTACAGTGTACAATCTAGAAATAAACTCTCTTTTTACAGTGTACACTCTAAAGCATTAAACTCTCTTTTTGCAGTGTACATTTCTGTACTAAACTCACTTCTTTCCTTTTATGTACATTGTAGAGTATACGACACATATATGATTGATAAATAGTCTTTTTTTGTGAGAAAAGCAAATAATAAATGTCTACGCCAACTGTAAGGTCCGGTAGTAAAGTATAGAGAACAGTATTATATAGTCAAATATCTATCTATCTATCTATCTATCTACATATCCTTATATCTATGTATCTATCTATCTATCTGTGCCCTGTGTGGTTAAATACCTACTACAGTATGAAAGTCTTTAAAAGTTTCTCCAGCCTAGTAATTTTCTAGCTAAGGGATTTATAAGGTGTAAGGATAGATAGATAAAAAGATGGAAGATAAGATAAAGGTTTTCGATTTATTTCGTTTTTGAGAAAAAAGTAGTATTTTTCATAAAAATTAATAGAATAATAGAAATTTTAAAAATGGCTAAAGATGAAAAGGAAAACAGAATAGAGTGAAAAGGATGAACGATGGAAAGACATGGCCGTAGCCGGGGTGCATCAGACCAATACTTTTTGAGTTATCTCCAACCCCCGAATTCAAACTTCAAAATGAAGGATTTAAGGAGGCTAATGGTTGTGGAAGCACTAAGCCACATCTGCTGAACTCTACAGCAATGGTCTGAACTTTTAAGTTCAAAGGATTAAGTTTAATTTCGAGATTTTAAGGGAAAATATACCAAAATATTTCAAGCAAAGAATGTTTGTATCTTTCATGTCTTAACCCTATCCAGGCTGGGGTAATTGAAAACCAGGATATGCATGGGGTGGGGTCAATTTACCCCCCCCCCCTTTAAATCCCATGTTTGATGTCCAAATATGACAAATGTGCTTTACTTTAGAAATTGCAAACAAATTGCAAATTTGAAAAAATTGGAATTTTTTTGTCTAAATTCAGTAAAATAGTAAATCTGTTTGCAAAAAACGTCCAAAAAATGATATGATATGAAAATATACATTTTTGAAAAGCCCTTGACCATGCCATTTCAAATATGCAAAAATGTTTACAAAATTTTAAACAACCTAATGTGTAATTAATAAAAACAAACGATTTTCAAATTTCTTCTGAATAGTTTCATACCAATAATTTGCAAAAATTTCTTTGAAAACTTGAGTAATCCGTTTCCTTATGTCATAAAACTTAAAAAATTTCAAAATCTGACAACTGAAAGTGGGTCAAAACAAAGATTTAGTTTGTTACAGGACAAGTTGCCTGAGGACTCCGGCAGTTTGAATAAAAGCCCGGTTTTAGACTTAAACGGAGGTCTATGGGTATTTAGGGAAAGTCAGAAAATTTCAACAGTCTCAGACCAATGCTTTTTGAGTTATATAAAAAAAACTAAAGGGGGGGATCAAATTGACCCCCCAGGGCCACACCAGGAGTAGGTTTAAATTGGACCGCCAAAATACAAAATTAAAAAATGTTGACCTTTTTCCATATAACCATTTAATTTTGTTAAACATTACTTGTTTTTTTTGCCTTTTTTGTGAGAAATCCGAGGGGAGTTCGGGAGAGGGGATCTATCTATCTATCTATCTATCTATCTGTCTATCTTTCTATCTATCTATTTATATATATATATATCTATATATCTGTCTATCTATCTTCATATCTATCTTGTAAACATTAACATGTCTAATTACATGTTAAGTAGTCCATATCAATCTATTCTAATTCCCTTCATTAAGACTGTAGTTCCCTTATACCTATATGTCAAGATATATCTACATTAAATACAATGTTTATAGTACTTTTTCCTTCTTGGATATATATTGATCTATTTATATCTATCTGTAGTATATTTGTCAAGATATATCTACATTAAATACAATGTTTATGGTACTTTTTCCTTATTGGATAGATATTGATCTATTTATATCTTAATATGCACATAAGTATTTTTACAGAACTAACAGATTACTTGCTTCAAACTCATTATCGGCCTTATATTTACCCCACTCTAAAAGTTCCTAAGAAGTACAACCTTACTGTCCAGTCTGAACTACCCAGTATAGAGTCGAGTCGACCCAGCATGTTTTATGCAACAAATGTAGCCTGGCAAGATCACTGTGAAATGTAATATTTTGAATGTTTTATTAAGCAAAAGTCCACGGCACCAGTTTACAAAAATATAAGGATTAGAAAATTAGAGTTTGAGGCTGGTGCTCAGTTCCTCTCTTATTATAGTTTGAGGCTGGTGCTCAGTTCCTCTCTTATTAGAGTTTGAGGCTGGTTCTCAGTTCCTCTCTTATTAGAGTTTCAGGCTGGGGCTCAGTTCCTCTCTTATTAGAGTTTGAGGCTGGTGCTCAGTTTCTCTCTTATTAGAGTTTGAGGCTGGTGCTCAGTTCCTCTCTTTTAGAGTTTGAGGCTGGTGCTCAGTTCCTCTCTTATTAGAGTTTGAGGCTAGTGCTTAGTTCCTCTCTTATTAGAGTTTGAGGCTGGTGCTCAGTTCCTCTCTTATTAGAGTTTGAGGCTGGTTCTCAGCTCCTCTATTATTAGAGTTTGAGGCTGGTACTCAGTTCCTCTCTTATTAGAGTTTGAGGCTGGTGCTCAGTTCCTCTCTTATTAGAGTTTGAGGCTGGTGTTCAGTTCCTCTTTTATTAGAGTTAGCGGCTGGTGTTCAGTTCCTCTCTTATTAGAGTTTGTGGCTGGTGCTCAGTTCCTCTCTTATTAGAGTTTGCGGCTGGTGCTCAGTTCCTCTCTTATTAGAGTTTGCGGCTGGTGCTCAGTTCCTCTCTTATTAGAGTTTGCGGCTGGTGCTCAGTTCCTCTCTTATTAGAGTTTGAGGCTGGCTCAGTTCCTCTCTTATTAGAGTTTGCGGCTGGTGCTCAGTTCCTCTCTTATTTAATTTGTATTCCTGAATTTTACTTCACATGTTTATTTTACAAAGACATATTCATTACACTGTAACGCTATGTTTCAAGCCTTCCCACACCAAACTAAGCTATTTGAGTAGGTTAAACAGGCCTATGAGGTTAAACAGGCCTATGAGGTTAAATAGGCCTATGAGGTTAAACAGGCCTATGAGGTAAAACAGGCCTATGAGGTTAAATAGGCCTATGAAAGGCCGGGTACTGTAAAAAGTCTGGCCTCGCCTTCAAAGTTAAAACCAGGCCGACAGAGGATAGGGGCTGGGCGGTACTAAGGCAGACCTTCAAGGGGTCGGTCCGGCTCGAATTTAAATTGACCGTAGTCCACCGTGTTCCCAGTAAAAATTCTCCAAAAGTTTAACAAAAACTTTTTTTTTAATAATCTAAAATGTTTAGATTGATGCGTGGGTTTGGAATGTCGGCTTTAATGCTTCCCTCAGGCGCAACAATGACTACAATGACTAACACAGCTCCCATCCAGGTCTCCCAGCAGAAGGTAAAAAGAAAAAATATTTTTCGAAAATTTTTACTAAAAATTAAACAAATTTTAAATATTTTAAGATTAATCAACAATTAAATCTTGATCACAATCGGTTAGAAAAGGATTTGATCCTTATTATATCTTTGCATCCTGAATTCTGATGGAATAACCCTTCTTATTGCAACTTAGATTTTTTAGCAACCAGAATTCATTGTTTGAAATATCTAAGGTCTACGACTTTGGGCTGTAAAGAAATAGGGATTATATATTCAGAGTTTGCTGGAAAGACTCGATTCCTTTTTTCCAATATTGAAAAAAATATGTTGACTCTAGAAAAAGAAATCCGCCAAATTTTTCCCGGATTTTAATTGATGGCGTATCTTAGGTTGACTCCGTCAAAACTTCCCTGATTGTAAACAACAACAATAACAATAAACAAGGTAGGAAGAATGACGAGAACACGTTAAAAACTATGTTTATTAAATACAAAAGTAAATAAATAATGATGAAATTATATAACATTAAAGAGGTCATCAAAGGTGTACTTGTGTGGTTTAAAATTAGGAAATAAAAGAAAAGAAAAATCTTTTTCCCATTTATTTCTCGCAATAAAACATTTTATAGGAAACGAATTAGAGATTTAGTCAGCGAATAAATACCCAATGATCGGATTGGTGTTTTTCATCTATCTAGTTTCATTGTTAACTGTCAAGTCAAATTTTTTTCCCGTTCAGAAGAGCTTAATATTTTTCTTTAAATATTGAGTTTTGTACTTTTTTTTGGAAATCCATTTAGTGTTTTCGATGACATGCAGTTTTTTGTAATCTGCCCCCCCCCCCCTCCACCTCTACCTCCCTACACCTTTATCCTGCACCCCCCCTTTACCGATATCCTACTCATTTTGTATAAATTTATTCATAGATGGTATAAGTTTGGAAATCTATCAAATCCAAACTTTTTCCAGTCTGGTGTCACAAATTCATTATGACAGATGAAAAACGATTATATCATATTTATAAACATTTTTTCACATTTTTTGTTAATTCAAATTTTAGTGCCACCCACCATACAACTGATTTTTTTGTCGTCCCCTTTCCCCCCAAACCCTTAGGTTACCTCACAAATTTCCCCCATCCTGTGTATAAACTTAAAACTGAATTTTTGACAAACTTTTTCAAGTCCTGAGGCTACGGTTTTATCCCAACAGGAAGTTGAAGATTTTACGACCAAAATCAATCATTTTACAGTGAAAGGAATTTTAGAAATTCACATTTTCATTTTAAACTTCTAACCGAGGTCGGTCAATATGTTGTATATTATAAATATATATCACTACCCCCCCGACTAGACCAGAGAGCGTTCTTTTCTTCTTAAAGAGCTACGTCTCGGCCCATTAAAAGAGCGCACCTCTTTCTTAAGCAAACCTCGTCTAAATGTTACGATTTCAACTCGTTTTTCGCCGCATCTCATATTTTGTCTGGGTATCAAATTCATTTTGTTGTGCTGCTACGGCCCATTAGTAATGGTAATTCAAATAAATACTACCAATGCTAGACTCTTTCCAACAAACCTAAAGGGAAGCTAAAATCAATTGGAGTAATCACATCAAATTATATGTAGTGGGATACTTTAAAACTGTGACAAAAGACGACATTCTGTCAATCTAATGTTCAACAAGCTTGAAAATAGATTATTGCTATGTTTTAGGTATTCAAATCCATTATTGTCGTCTGCTTATTTAGCAATGTAATCGTTACTTTCGAAAATAAATTCTGTACTAAAATTTAAACTTTTAGGTCCCAACACAACAAAAAAAAACTTTATTGGATTGGATCGACGAGAATAAAATAGCTTGCACAATAATGGGAAGATTCGGTCTAATGAAATATATTTGTTTATAAGCTGTAAACCAATAAATGACTGTTGTATACTAAATAAACAAATAACAAAATGTTCTTCTCTAACTCAACACATACATACATTTAATGTTAAAGAGACAGTAAGCGTAATTTCAAGTGATCCTCCACGGTACCCTTAAAAGCTTTGTCTGATCAAGTATAACTTTTATCAATGTTCATAATTTTCTGTAAAAAGTTATTTGTGCATTTTCACCACAGGAAAGCATAAAGAAATTCCCAGATGAAAACGCTTTTAAACATAGAAAAATGACATCATTTTGTTGCCATCTTTGCATGAATGGTCGTTTAAAATTAGGCGTACAGTCCCTTTAAATTATTCAAAAAATAAATGTTTGCTTTTGCTCAAATAAACCTAGAAACTTTGCGCTTTTAAAGTAACATTTCAAAATCAGAAATCCATTATAAATCTTTTATAAAAAGTTACCTGATCCAAATATACCCTAATTTTTACAATTATTTACAATAAAAAATTCCCCCCAATTACAGTATTTACTTAAAGGGAAATATTTGTTTGAATCTATTTACACAAATTATGATTTATTAACGCTTTAGCATGCTTTGTTGTGAATTTGTTCTTATTCTTGGTACTTGAATGGTAATTGAACTATTTATACCCTACTGCAGTATGTATACTGGTATACTGGTATACTGGTACACTGGTATATAACTGGTTATAACTGGTATAATGGTATATAGCTGGCTACAACTGGTATATTGGTATATAACTGGTATACTGGTATACTGGTATGTAACATGGTATATACTGGTATTTAACTAGTATGCTGGTATATAACTGGTATACTGGTATATGACTGGTTATAACTGGTATATAACTGGTTATAACTGGTATATAACATGGTATACTGATATATATATCTGGCATGCTGGTATATAACTGGTATACTGGTATACTGGTATGTAACATGGTATATACTGGTATTTAACTAGTATGCTGGTATATAACTGGTATACTGGTATATGACTGGTTATAACTGGTATATAACTGGTTATAACTGGTATATAACATGGTATACTGATATATATATCTGGCATGCTGGTATATAACTGGTATACTGGTATACTGGTATGTAACATGGTATATACTGGTATTTAACTAGTATGCTGGTATATAACTGGTATACTGGTATATGACTGGTTATAACTGGTATATAACTGGTTATAACTGGTATATAACATGGTATACTGATATATATATCTGGCATGCTGGTATATAACTGGTATACTGGTATACTGGTATGTAACATGGTATATACTGGTATTTAACTAGTATGCTGGTATATAACTGGTATACTGGTATATGACTGGTTATAACTGGTATATAACTGGTTATAACTGGTATATAACATGGTATACTGATATATATATCTGGCATGCTGGTATATAACTGGTATTCTGGTATATAACTGGTTATAACTGGTTTACTGGTATGTAACTGGTTATAGCTGGTATAATGGTATAACTGGTACATAACTGGTATACTGGTATATAACTGGTATATTGATATAAAACTGGTTATAACTGGTATACTGGTATATAACTGGTATATAACTGGTATATAACTGGTATATAACTGGTATATAACTGGTATATAACTGGTATATAACTGGTATATAACTGGTATATAACTGGTATATAACTGGTATATAACTGGTATATAACTGGTATATAACTGGTATATAACTGGTATATAACTGGTATATAACTGGTATATAACTGGTATATAACTGGTATATAACTGGTATATAACTGGTATATAACTGGTATATAACTGGTATATAACTGGTATATAACTGGTATATAACTGGTATATAACTGGTATATAACTGGTATATAACTGGTATATAACTGGTATATAACTGGTATATAACTGGTATATATAAATGTTTGAAACGGTTTTGTCGAAAACTTATTTGTGTAAAGTGTACACACCAACTTTCCTCTCAATCCTCTTCAAACTTTTTGTTTTTGTTTTGAAAAGTTTGAAACCGGTTTTTATCAATTCCTAATTGTAGAATCTGTCGTGAAGGCTGTCAACAGGAGCAAGAAAAATTTAGCCTAATGGATTTTAGCCTTAAAACCCAAAACTAAACTTTTAACTTAGATTGATTATTTTCCAAACGTTTGAAAAAGAACATGGCTGCCAATAACTCTAATTTTCTTAATCTTTCATCATTGCAACCGGATGTCTGTGATCTTCGACATTTTAAACTCGAATTATTCTCTATTGAACAGTCAAAGTTTAAAATATAAGTGTGTTCACCATTAGGTTGCAAAAATATAGTTTTATCTTCCCTCTGCTTTAAGAGTAATAAGCACGCACCTCTGGCCCTTTAGTTAAAGTAAATTCAATCTATATGAAGCATAAAGTCTGACCGCGTCAACTTTGTTGCACCAGCTAGCCCTGTCGATAAAGCTAGGTACAGCACAAAACTGGGACCGGAAAGGTTGACCCGGCTCGGAAATTCAAATGTACTACGGCTGCCTGTGTAAGTTTTATGTTGACAAATTGTTATATTGTTAGAATTTTTTCATTCTACAATCTGAATGCAGAAAGAGAAAAATATGCGAGAAAAGAAATGTTATATTTCTCAAAATTTAATCTCACAACAGAATAAATAAAATGTGGGGGAATGTTTACATTTGAAAACAACAGAAAAAGGAGAAATTTTAAATAAAATTCATTTATTGTAGATTTTCACAATAACAACACAAATGGGGTGGGGGTGTATGGTAAAAATATTAACTAATATGATTTTACTTTACTAGGGAGCCCAGCTTTGTCAGGAGTTTTTCTTACAAAAGTTGACCCACACAACTTAGAATTTTTTCATCCAGGTCAAGTTCATTTCCGTGCAGTGTCCCAATTAAAATTTGAGGCAAATCGGTCNACATTAAGCTCCTGTAGTTTTGATTTTATTAGAATAAGAAAAGTGAAACTTAAAACATTTTTGTTCTAAATAAATGTTCAATAAAAGTAGTTTTGATTAAAAGGAGTTCGAAATGCATGCTTTTGTTAATTTGATTTCACACTAAACTAAGCTAGTCGGATAGTTCAAACAGGCCTGTGTTACTACTGTAAAAAGTCTGGCCGCGCCATCAAAGTTGAAACCGAGCTAAGGCCGGGCCGGTACTTGCCGTACAATACTTAGGCGGGTACAAGAGGTCGGTCCGGATTGAATTCAAATTGACCCTAGTCCACCGTGTTTAATGTAAAAAAAAGGAAATACAAATTAAAATACTTTTTAGAAAGTAATAGTAAAAGTATATTCTGACCTTTAATGGCCGTTTTTCACATTATACATTGTGTTGAAAGATGTTGGGGTAGGGGGTTTTTAGTTTTTAAAGGGGTTGGGGAATTCCTGGTAGAAGGTGGAGGAGAGGGGGAATTCCTTTCTTTCATAGAAATAATTGCCAATATCTCCACATTCCGACCTGGGGAAAATCATCCTAAATATTTATCTACAAAATTCCCCATCATTAGCCATTTATCAACATTTGTG